TCATTCATTTGTTCATTCATTTAATTCTTTTTAAAGTTTGTTATGAAAAAATAAAGCTATAGGTTCAATTTATAGAACAGGTATATTTACAACAAAATGCCAAGCATTAAAAAAAGTCAGAGTGGTATTTTTTTAACTATTTTTATTAAGATATATTTGTTCTATTTTAATAATTAGATTACATTTTTGATTCTTACTATTTATGGAAGAGGAGGAGGAGAAGGAGGAGGAGGAGGAGGAGGAAGAGAAGGAGGAGGGGAGGGGACAGGAAAAGAGAACCTTTTGCTTTCAAGAGTAACTTATACAAGAATTCCGTATGGTCTGAATCTGAGACGCAATTATTTGTCTAAATCACTTAACTCCATAAATTGGCAATTTTCTGAAGCAATACCAGTTGTACACAAAAGCTAAGTCCTATTGAATTCAATGGAGCTTATGTCTAGAAAACTAGGCACTGTACAGGGCTACAGTATAAAATATGACAGATAAATATACATTTAAGATAATCTGAGTAAACTGCTCAGTGTTTGGTTTATAACACTGAACAGTGTTGCCTTTTTTGCCTTTTAGAACATGAGAATATTCAACAGATTATAAGCAATTATTGTTAAATTTTGTAGGTTCAAGGAAGCCTTGTCACATTTACTACTGGGGGAATCATGGACATTTATCAGCAATTGCATGCTGACATTTCTTTGTATTTTAGGGAGGCTATATAGAACTATTTATTATGTTTATATAAAACATATAAAGAAAAAAATGAGGGGAAAGGAAAAAGAAAGCAACAAAAGCATGCAATGTTACAATAGATAATGTTTTGTTACAATGGAAAGACATTTCATTCTGAATGCATACTTGTGAATTGATATGTGTTTATTTGAACTGGCTCTTTATCAATATAATAGAAAGACATCAATATTATTCCATGTGGTAAATTTTAATGTTGTATCTAATAACTTTTTTCTTTGCATTGTAATACATTTTTACTGACATTCTAAAAAAATTCCAAGGCATTAACTTCTTCTTAGGTTTTAGTACTGATCTCTATAAACTGGAAACACATTCTAAAATGGCCAAAGTCTATTTTGGTGGCAATTAACAAAGAAACAATGGCATTGATCATAAATTATTTGTATCAGCCTTGATTTACTGGAAGCAGTATCTCCACCCAAGACTATGCAGCATCTTTTAGATCTTCATAATTTTAAGTAACTTCTATAGCACCTACCCCTATTGTATCTTGGGATTCTTAGATGATTTAAAATTTGTTATATTGGAACATAATATTACCAGTATTGTCATATTCAACAAATAAGACACCAGGAAATTTATATAAAATCAAATAGTTTTTTGTATTTTCCACATCTGTTGCAAAATGCATCAATCATTTTGTTGATCAATGTTTTGAATGTCACTTTTGGGAAAAGAGAAGTGATAAAAGAGATCATGAACCTGAAAGCCAACTAGATTTGGTAAGAAATGTTTTTGGCATTTAACTTGTAGATTTTAAATAGCACATTATGTCAGTTGATAAAGGGAAATAATTTACAAGTTTGGAGCATCTATATCTCTATATATCGACAATCTAACCTCTTTCTCTATTTTTTCTCCACACTTCTGAGGAAAATCTACTGAAGCTGGTATTACTTATAGAAGGAAATTTCATACCAGTGCAATTATTAATTTTAAATTAATTAAATTTAAATTTAATTTAATTTAAATGGATTTCCTAAGAATTTAATCAGAGAAAGAACTTTCACTCCCCCCACCGCCATCCTTATTATAAGTGATTCCATTAATTGTCAATCCTCAATGCATGCTTATTTCATCTACATTTTTAAAAATCTTTAGAGTAATCATATTATTTAATGGAAAGTTTAAACATAAAATCAAAAAAAAATATGCTGTATACATTTGACCCGGATATTGAAATTAAGTTTTCACTAGAAACAAAAAAAGAATAAGAATTCTTATTTACATCAACATATCCAAATCAACCTTTAAGCATCTCACACTTTTAAAATGTTTCAATTTTTTTGTGGCAGATATATTTGTAAAAAAGCAGCCTGAGCAAAACATTTATTTTAATTATTACACTGTTTTAAAATCCATACCATCATTGCTGATAGAATCTAGCACCTCTTGATGATCTTATTGTTTAAGATCAGAATAACGAGAATAAGACAAAATTAATACTTGAATGGAGATCACCAAGTAATCTGAGTACTGTAGACAAGATTGGGAAATTGAAAAAAAAAGATCCTCTAGAAGAAAGCAATAAGGTTTCTTTTATAGATCTATGTATTGTTTCCAAGACAACATGGATGTGTTGGTTAGTCACAGGAATTAAGCTTGACTTGACATGGTTTTTTTTAGAATTCATAGGCGTTTTAGGAATTTGTAGGAATCCAAACACAAAAAAAAAATTTATAATATGTAAATGACTAGGAAAACAATATGAATAAAAAACTTGATATTTCAACAAATTCATATTTCAACATCTGAATTACAGTGTCACCCTACACTAATTCATTAAATTGTGTAGTTTGAAAATGATTGGCACTTTTTTTCTGAAAATTATAGTGCAGGGTTATTTAATGTAAATATTATTTTAGGAACTAATATTGATAATTTGTGAAAAAGCATCTAAACAATGATGAATAGTGCCATGCAAGTCTATAAAGAAATGTAAAGGCAGCCTTGTCACCAGATCTATCTTTACTTTTACCCCCGCCCTTCCCCCCCCCCAAAAAAAACAAAAGGGGTAAGATAAATTAGCAATCCTGGTTTAGTAAAGTTATATGACATCATACACCACTCAGAGAGTGCTATAATGCACTGTGGAGCGGTATATAAGTCTAAGTGCTACTGCCATTACTATAATAAAGGTGGTACTGTATGTACTTTAATTCTATTCCAATTATGAAGAAAAAATTAAAGTATGCTCAAAAAGTAGCACAAGATGTTTGTCCAAATTAATCATACTAAATCCTATACCTGTTAGTAGTGAGCAAATATAAGCAACTGAAAGAAACTGGAATTCACTGAGTAAGTGCAGGTCTTTTAACACATTCCATTAATTCTCAGTGCCACACCTTTATTGATAATGCATTTGTGTATATTTATATGATCAATCTGTGCCTGGGGATTTACTTAAAAATCAAATCATATTTTCTCAAACACAAATAATTGTCTATACCTTGCTTTTGAATTTAGGGACTTTTATCACGTGACTATTCCATCTAAACTCTGCATTTGTTTTACAATAATTAAAAATAGCCACTATTCTACCAATATTTTTCTTATCATCTTCCATAAACCAATGCTTTAGTTCTTTTTATATAAAAAGAGGTTCCTTCCTGAATTCCTTAAAAAATTAAAATAAGTCAAAAACTTTTTTAAAAGAGAGATTAAAAAACAAAGGGACAAACAGAAAGCAAAAGCAGAACAAATATGAACACTTAGAAACATACAAAATACTTCTGTGCTATTAAGCACATTGCCTATTCAGATCACACATGCTTAACTAGTCTACTGAGATGTGACATATGTCACACTGAGCTATAATCCATTAAAAGTTAAATACAAATTCATTCATCTTTTCTTTCATAATAGGCTTTATTCCAGAGAATAAAGAGCAATCTCTAAAATCAAGCTGAAATTAAAAGCTGAATTACTCCTATATTCTCTGTGAACTCTGTGAATTATATGCATGACACTTCATCTGCTTTGTACCAAAAAAAAAAAAAAAAATGCCACTCAGTATTGTAGAAATAATTGGTTTGGTAAATAAAGTACATATTTAGAAAAAGAGTTTTCAAAAAGAATATACATTACAGTATCCATATACTGCACTTCTATATTTATTAATGTCACAACTTTATAACTAATGCAGTATGTGCTAAGGTTGACAATGCTATCAAGTCATTATACACTATATACTTTAGAAAAGTTTCTTAATACCACACCCAGTGATCTTTCAGTCACAACTGTTTTGTCATTAAATTTAGTAAGTACAAGCCAAACACCTATAGAGATGTTACCATTTTCTCCCTGTTATTTCTGAAGAAGATTTGGCCAAGAAAATCATCCCTTGGTGCAACAAGACATGGTTGAGCTTGGAATAGTAGAAAGTAGACAGAAAGTGAGGACACATTATTGAACTAAGTGATTCGAAAATATCTGTTAACTGAAGATCAGGTTGAACGGGGAACAAAAATCTTAACATCTGTGTGCGTGCATGCATGCATGCAAGCGTGCATATATCTCCGTTTGCCAATGGAAAGGAAGTGAATAAATAACGAGAGGTGAGCCCGGGCAGAAAAGAGGCATGGCCTTGTCTAGAGCGGCTGTGCATGCAATTAAAGAAGAGATGGTAGCTTCAGAGCGGTACGAGGAAGGGAGTGGGAAGAATAGGGCTGAGTCTTCAGGAGCTCGCCAAGGTTTGCCTCGGCTCTAAATCCGCAGAGGAGCAGCTGGTGGAATTGCAGCTACTGCGCACAAGACTTTGTGGGCTCTCTAATTCAGAGAAAGGTTGGAGGGAAAGTATGGAGGATGCGAAAGAAAGAACAATTTTAAAAAGCCGCCACATACATTCAGGCTGAGAAGACAGAGGGCAGGGGGCACAAACTTTGCTTGTTCTGCCTTCCCAATTCGCCTCCAAACTTTATTTATATAGCCCCTGTGGGGGGAGGAAAAGAGAGAGGGAAAAAAACTGACCGGTTCCACCGGAAATAATCCTGAGAAAGCCGAGGTACCCCCCTTCCCAATTCTTCCTCCGGTGCCTGTGCCCCACGACTCCATCCGTCTGTTTAGTCTCTCCCTGATTCCGGTTCTTGTCAGGGTGCCAAAGCGGCGCTTCTCCAGCTCGCTCTACCCCCCGGAGTCCCTAACCTCAGCCGCGGCCATTTCCATTTTCTTCCTCGTCGTCCTCGCCCTCTTCTCCCCGCCCTTCCATACCCCTCCCCCGGCGAAAAACCAACCGTGGCCCTCGCGCTTACCTCCCAAAATGAGGTTCATAGCATTCCCGCCGGCCGTTTCCGCGACTACCATTGCCGTCCTCAGGAAGCAGCAGCAGCAGCAACCCTGTCTGGAGCGAGCGCCGGCCCGCCTGTCCGCAGCCCGTCAGAGGGCTCCGAGCGCGAGCGCGCACCTCCCCTTGCTCCAAAGGCCACCCCGTGACCAGCGGACGCGAACTCAAAAGGCAGTTAATTCTAGTGCGGGGAGCTCCGACGAGTGGCAGCTTAATGGAAGGAAAGGGGAGGAGAATGCGCCCGCTCGGCGAAGCAACTCATGAAGCTACCGCCTCCAACGCCGATACGAAAGCGCACATAGACATATCTGCACTCACACAACTACACAATGCCCTTTCAGGAAGCTGCCCTCACCCTCTCCACAGGGTATCGGAGTCTCTGTGTGTAAATGTCCTCCTCGTTTCTCCCTGATTCGGGGCTCTGCTGCAATGCCTGAGAGGCTGACTTTCAAAGCCTCACCCGCAGCCTACGATCTTCCCTCCTCCCCTCCCTTCTTTCCAGCTTGTCAGTCCCTCCCTTCATTTCTCTCTCTCTCTCCCTCTCCTCTCCCTCTCTAAGTTTCTCTGGTTTAACCTTTTACTTTCCCACTACCAGCTAGGAAAATCTGATGGAGAAGGGGGGGGAGGGTTTATCATCGACACAGATCACAGCTGACTATTTGGAATCATCTCATGGAAGGCTACAACGCGTGCAAATAAAGTTGATTTCAAAGTTGATTTCAATGTACAGTCAATAGACATAACAAACCTAGGCTCGGGTGTGTGTGTGTGTGTGTGTGTGTGCGCGCGCGCGCGCGCGCGCGCGCGTTAACCAAAGTGCAATTTAATATCGCGAATTGCTTTAGACTTTTCAGATGATAGTAATTAGGGAAGTTGAAATAATTTCCTCAAATTAATGATTTCACATTGGCTCACAGTGAATCGACACAGAAAATATTCAAATTTAGTCATTGGTACATGAATGAACTAGATGCTAGAAGAATGATCAATAAATTGAAATCTTTTAATGTATATGAAACGGTAACAACTATGACAAGTGTTTTTGCCTGAAAAAAAAAGATAAAAAAAGTGTTTTTTATCTGAAAGATTAAAGGTGAAGGAAAATACAATAATCAGATGCCCTATTTTAAAAAAATGCTTTTAAGTGTTCGTTGTAAAAATTCCAGTACTTAAGAGGAAGTGACCTAAATAACATTGTCTTCCGATAATAGAAACAATAATGTAATTATATTTTTCCCTTAAGACTTTCTAAAGAGGAAATAGATAGATATCTTTATGATGCACTTGCATTACATCTTACTGCATTATATTTCAGTTGTTGTTTTAAGTCTTCTCCCATATTTTATTTTATATCTACCAAAATTCCTCAAAAATTGATATTCAGTAAAAGTGTGGTTAGATCAGGGGTAGGCAATTAATTTTCCCAAGGGACCACATGAGAAACTGAAGACTATTGTGGAGGGCTGCTGACCCCCCCCCCATGCTGTCTCCCTGCCACCCCTGGCCACCAGCGCCCTCTCAATGCTACCACTGCCCCCCTGCCACCACCATAGGCTAGATAGGGACAGCCAAATGGCTGGATGTTGCCTACAGGTCATAAAATGCCTACATCTGGGTTAGATGAACCAAGAATTTAAGCTGCTATAATAATTGTACTGAACAATAATAGGTAAAGAATTTTGCCTTGGGACAAAAGACAGGTAGTCATAAGAAATAACCTTTTCTCTTCCAGTGTTACAGTTATATAGACAACAGGACAAAAACTTCATTAACTTGTCAAATTCCAGATCAGTTATCATGTGTTATGGCAAATATGAGGGCAATTCAGAAATAAACTCCATTTGGATAAAAACACTTAACAGACACTCGCGGATACAGAACTTCTATTATACACATTAGAAAAGTACAACATTACATTACTTTTAACATAATCGCCATTCATAACGTCTTACAAGGTTTGAAATTCCTTATTAGTAGTTGCTCGATGCCAAATCTGGGCTATGGGGGGGGTGATCAAAAAGATCCCAACGGAACTGCTTCAAAAGTTCTTGGGTGTGTCTAGTGGTGTGTGGGCAAGCATTATTGTAAACCAACACTCTACTGGAAGTGGTGCTGTAGAAAATCCCTCTAAATGTGAAGATGCCAAAGGAGTACTGCTAGTGAAGTTCATGGAACGTGATTTGACCGTCAGTTCAGAAGATTACTGTGAAACGTTATGAAAACTCAGATGAGACATCCATAACAAGCATCAGGGCATGCTGACTTCCAGTGTGGTGTTGGTTCATGATAATGCTTGCCCGCATACTATTAAACACACCCAAGAACTTTTGAAGCAGTTCCATTGGGATGTTTTTGATTATCCCCCCTACAACCCAGATTTGGCGTTGAGCGACTACTACCAAGGAATTTCAAACCTTGTAAAACATTATGACAAGTGCCTCAGTTTGAATGACGATTATGTCGAAAAGTAATGTAATGTTATAGTTTTCTAATGTGTATAATAAAAGTTCTGTACCTGCGAGTGTCTGTCATTGATAACCAAATGGAGGTTTATTTCCAAATTGCCCTTGTATAATAACAGTGCTGCAATATTAATATTCTTGCAATTGACTTTAGATGATGTTATGTTGTTGATTCAGAACCCAACCGATTTGCAGTAAATGTTGGCTTGTGTCTGAAGCAACAAGGTACTTGAAAAGTGTTTAATACAGGTAGTCCTTGACTTACAACCACATTGAGCCCAAAATTTCTGTTGAAAAATGAGACAGTTGTTAAGATTTTATGATCTTTCTTGCAACAGTTGTTAAGAGAATCACTGCAGTTGTTAAATTAGCAACACAGTTGTTAAGTGAATCTGGCTTTCCCATTGACTTGGTTTGTCAGAAGATTACAAAAGGTGATCACATGTCCATGGTACACAGCAACCATCATAAATATGAGTCAATTGCCAGGTATCTGAATTTTGATCCCGTGACTGTGAGGATGCTGCAAATAGTTGTGTGAAAAATGACCATCAGTCACTTTTCAGTGCCATTGTAACTTTGGATGGTCACTAAATGAAATGTTGTAAGTCGAAGACTACCTGTATATTATTAATTGAAACAATGATTAATGGGTGGGTCACCAATGTTTGCATAGTCTTACATATCATTTTATATAACTTGGGATAAAGTGTTGGTCCTACAGCCTTCAAGATGCATTCCTTTACAGAGAATCTATCATGACACATCTTGAAACTAAAAATCATTTTGGGAAAAACAGTATGAAGTCTATTTTGGAGTAAATATTCCTTATAAAAAGAAAATATAACTCTAACTTAATGTAAGGTCAGCCTTTGATTCAACATTAATACTTTAAAAATGGGAAAGTAATACTATACTGTATTTCATATGAGGCAAACTAATTTCAGTTTTAGTAACTAATTTCAATCATTGGTTAGACTAAACTACCATATTTTCCCAAAAATAAGACCCGGTCTTACTTTTTTTTTTTTGCCTCCAAAAAAGGCACCAGGTCTTATTTTGGGGGGAGGGGAGTGTCTTTTCCACTCTCCTCTGGCACTGACAGCCCTGCCAGGCAGCCCACTTCTTCTGAGGCCAAAGGAGCAGCTTTATTCTGCAGCTGAGAATGGAACTCCGGCCTGCATTTTGCAATCAAAGGCCTTTCTGGAAGGCCACTGCAGCTGAGAACCAAGCTATGGATTGAATCCATAGCTCAGTTTTTGGCTGCAGTGGCCTTCTGAAAAGGCTTCTGACTGCAAAATGCAGGCCTGGGGATGCTGCAAAAGAAGTGGGCCAGCGAGGAGAGGCCTAGCTGCAAGGTAAGTGGATGTGGGGTGCATAGGTAGCTCCACCCCAACCCACCCCCACGCTAGCTTGATTTTTAGGTGTGTGCCTTGTCCCAAAACTAGGGCTTATTTTTGGTGTAGGGCTTATATTAAGCCCCTCCCAAAGTCAAGCTACAGCTTATTTTTGGGGTAGGTCTTACTTTCAGGAAAACACAGTATATCAATTCAGACAAGTTCTGCAAAACAGTAGGAAAAGATTAACACAGAAGAAGAAATATAAAAGATAAAACAATTAAACCATTATAGAATTAACTTAAAATGTTAGTATCATTAAATCTGTTATTTAAAGTAAGGTTTTGCATAAAATATTCTAACACTGAATATACTCAGTGCCACTAATCATATATATGTTATGAAATTAAATAATGAAAATATTAAAAACAAATAGAAATTATAGGTACCTACTTCTCACACAATTCCATTTTTGGGTAAGCAAACTTATGCAAAGTGCTAAGATGAAAAAATAAGCCATGTGAAAGATACACAATCTGATACACAAAGAAAAATAAAGAGTAAATAAGCAAATTGCTTAAGCAAATTAATACTAACTATATATCTTAACACATTTAACTCTCAATTCCATATAATAAAATGGGCATAAGGGTTCTCATACATAGTTATTTTTATTTCTTTTGACAAATATGCATTCCTCACAACAGATTATGTATTATGTATTACCTACAATCTTTCTCCAATTCTCCAGGTTTTTTGTTTGTTTCTTTGTTTTGTTTTGTTTTATCTATCATTCATATAGAACTTGTACTGTTTACTCTTTTACTCTGTCAAACTCAGCTTCTTTGGCCCTTAACACATTACTTTTCAGATCCATACTTTCTGCCCACACAAACCAAGATTCATTGCAAATCATTTGGGTTCTGAATCAACAACATGGCATTATTTAAATACAAAACTATATTCATATTTATATTAAATTAACATACCTTTAGCATTTACCACAAACATTCTATTTGCTTTGATACATACATTTTATGGAATATTCTTCCTCTGGAAATCAGAATGGCCTTAACTCTGCTAGGTCTGGTTCTGTGCCTGAGCCAGAGATCCAAAATGTGTGAAGCTGTCTCCTAGTTGTGTTAATGATTGTGGATTGTGATATTCCTCGGCTGCTTTGTATTTTAATTTTTGAAATCTGTTGCAATTATTTTATTTTATTTTAATATTGTTTTATTTTATTTTAATATTGTTTTCTGCCCAGAGTCATTTGCTGAGATGGGCAAACATACAAATTGATTCAATAGATAAACAAAGGGACATCAGACATGTGTCAGGTCCCCAAAGAAATGTATTTCAACCATATGCCTACCTTCTACCTTTCTGTAGCCTTTCTTTGTGGCCTGCCATTCTATTGGGAGGGGGGAGCTTTTGGGATTGCTTTGCACTGTCTGCAGGATGCCATTCCCCTAGGGCAGGGGTAGGCAACCCAAAACACTCAAAGAGCCACTTGGACTCGTTTCCCACCGAAAACAAAACAATGGGAGCCGCAAAACCCTTTTGATATCTAAAATGAAGATAACACTACATATATCCTTTTTTACTATATATATATAACTGTCCATACAGGATGTTGGGAAGAGAGTAAAATTAGCGGCTTTGTTGGACTTGGATTGCACCCGC